TTATGGGTCAAAAATGATTGACTACCAAAAACACATTGCATGTTTGTGCAATTCAGCCTCATACTTTGGATCTTGGGCTCTTTACCCTATTTCCCGAAAGCGCTTTACTGATCGGTATTTTTTTAAGCCTAGGGAAAGGGTGGAGGTGGATCGTTGCCGCAGGAGGTGAGGCTGAGGGCATAGGGCCCACTGGCCATGATGCGCCAGGGGAGCCAGGGCTGTGGGTCCCACTGGCGCTTGATGAGGGGTGAGGCGGGGCCGGGAGGGCACAGGGGTGGGGGTGGGGGGTTCACTGCAGCACACCCTGCTAGGCTCTTCTTCTTTATCCCTCTTTTAATCTGAAACATTAAATCCATTTGATTAATTACAAGAACTCAGGTGAAACCCTCAGGCCACTTCCAGGGGAAGGTGACAACTCTGGATTGGGACACATTCCAGCAAACTACCCACAGCTGCCCATCTAGCCACTCAGCCAGTGTTTGTTGTGCACCTAGCATGTGCCAGGCCTGTGCTAGGAGCTTGAAGACAGAATGGTGAGCAAACTGCCCCGGCCCTCCCTCTGGGGATGGTACAGACTTGTGGTCTACACAAGCGAAAGGGCCAGCCATAAGGGAGATACAACTCAAGTGTCCGTCAGTGGATGAATAGCTAGGTAAGGTGCGGTACATACCGATAATGGGACACCGTTCCAGCTCAGAAAGGAAGGAGATTCTGGGGCACCTGGGTGGCTCAGTCGGTTAAACATCCGACTTTAGGTCAGGTCGTGATCTTGTGGTTTGGGAGTTCAAGCCCCGCTTTGGGCTTGTGTTGACAGCTCAGAGCCTGGAGCCTGCTTCAGATCCTGTGTCTCCCTATCTCTCTACCCCTCCCCCACTCATGCTGTTTCTCTCTCTTTCTCTCTCAAAAATAAATAAACATTAATAATAATAATAATAAAATAAATACCTATCAGTGGAGGGCTGGTTTGATTAAGTTTAATAAATCCAAATATGAAGCCATTAAAAAGTGATGGTAGACAGTTGCCGTTATCTATAGTTAAGTGGCGGGCAGAAGGGGGGTGAGTACACAGGTTGCATCTACATGATCATTCAAAAAAAAATGTGTGTGCCAGGGTATACAGATGGCTCTTGAGGGCTTGCTTCACTTGGTCCCCCCGAGGCCCAGCCCACGCTGGGGGTCAGGAGGCTGGTGTGCTCAGGGGAAGCCAGGCAACGCTGGCACCCATGGGTGCACAGGCGCTCTCGGAGCACAGGGAGGCTGAGGGAGCCCCTCGCCGGCCCCCCGTGGCCTCTTGGGCTTGGCCAACTGTTCTCAGCAGCTCTGAGGAGTCCCTGATGATGTCTGACCCGCCGAGGCTTTATTCAGCACTCAGCCACATTTCCTGAGCCTCTACTTTGCATCCGTAAACTGTTGGCATGAGACCCCGAGGCCTTCAGTGTGGATTTGAGGCCAACAGAAAGGTGCGCTGGCCTTGGGCAAGTTGCTTAAGTTGTGGGAGACTCAATTTTCCCATCTGGAAAGTGGGGATAATAACAGAGCTCCTCAAAGAACTGAATCATCAGATAGATGCCTTTGGGAATAGGGAGGAGACTTTAATTTTGCACCCAGTGAATTTTTTACTGTGTGTACATGCTACCAATTCAAATAAATATATACTATAGCAGACTCTGTGAGAGGTTCAGAAAGGTTGTTTTTTTTTTATTTAAAAAAAATTTTAATGTTTATTTCTGAGAGAGAGGGGGAGACAGTGTGAGCAGGGGAGGGTCAGAGAGAGAGGGAGACACAGAATCTGAAGCAGGCTCCAGGCTCCGAGCTGTCAGCACAGAGCCCAACGCGGGGCTCAAACCCACGAACTGTGAGATCATGACCTGAGCCGAAGTCAGATGCTTAACCAACTGAGCCACCCAGGCGCCCCCAGAAAGAGTTTTTAAAAGGAGGACCCACAAGGGCGCCTGGGTGGCTTAGTCGGTTAAGCGTCCGACTTTCGCTTAGGTCATGATCTCACGGTTCGTGGGTTTGAGCCCTGTGTCGGGCTCTGTGCTGACTGCCAGCTCGGAGCCTGGAGACTGTTTCAGTCTGTGACTCCCTCTCTCTCTGACCCTCCCCTGCTCACGCTGTCTCTCTCTCTCTCTCTCTCCTAGAAATAAATAAAACATAAAAGGAGGACCCACAAGGCATTCATCCCACCAAATGGGTACTGTGTTATTAAAGAGCTGCTCAAAAGCAGGCTCTTCTGCATAGGGTAGCTGGGAGGGAGGGGGAGTGATTGGAGCCAGGGACAGGGTTCAGACTCAGTGGCCCCGTGCCTAGTACTCTGAAGCATGAAGAGAGGACATCTGATAGTTGAGGGATCTCAGTGCTGCACAGTTAAGGGCTGGGTCTATGCACACCAATTAGTAGGGTCACGCTTCACTGGGGAAAACCTGCTGAGTAGACTTCAAGTGCGAAGCACCACACGTTCTTTGGCGCTGTTGAAGAACCCTGTGTACATCAGCATATTAAAGGCTCTGAGAAGCCCTGCAGTGATGCCTGATTTCACATAGGGCTTCCCAAGTGTACGTGACTAGAAACCTTATTTTATTTTATTTTATTTTTGGTTCAGCCCATGTTAACATCCCCCAGAACTATATGCCGAAGAAGTTTGAGGATTAGGAAAATCTGTCCCATAAAGAATCAGGGCAGCCTCTGCCCTTTTGATTTTATTGATGAAATGCAGATTCTGTTTTCAGAAGTCAGGGATGGAGCTTGAGATTCTATATATATTGTTTTAAGTTTGTTTGTTTGTTTGTTTGTTTGTTTAAAGAATCCCTACCCCCAACGCGGTTCTCGAAATCAAGACACTGAGATCAAGTCACATGTTCTTCCAACTGAGCTATCCTGGCCTTCTGATTTTTATTTTTATTTTTATTTTATTTATTTATTTATTTATTTATTTTTTACAAATAGTTTATTGTCAAATTAGTTTCCACATAACACTCAGTGCTCATCCCCACAAGTGTCCTCCTCCATGCCCATCCCCCCTCCCCCACACATCCATCAGTCCTCAGTTTTTGTCAGCATTCAAGAGTCTCTCATGGTTTGCTTCTCTCCCTTTCCCCCACCATTTCCCCCCTTCTTCTCCCCCTTGTTCCTCCGTCAAGTTCCTCCTAATCCTCCTATACGTGCAAACATATGGTATTTGTCCTTCTCTGCCTGACTTATTTCGCTCAGCATAACACCCTCAAGGTCCATCCATGTTGCTACACATGGCCAGATTTCATTGTTTCTCATTGCCATGTAGTATTCCATGGTATAGATAAACCACATCTTCTTGATCCATTCATCTGTTGATGGACACTTAGGCTCTTTCCATGTTTTAGCTATTGCGGAGAGTGCTGCTATGAACATTGGGGTACATGTGCTCCTATGCATCAGCATTTCTGTATCCCTTGGGTAAATTCCTAGCAGCGCTATTGCTGGGCCCTAGGGGAGTTCTATTGTTAGTTTCCTGAGGAACCTCCACACTGTTTTCCAGAGGGGCTGTACCAGTTTACATTCCCACCACCAGTGTAGGAGGGTGCCCGTTTCTCCACATCCTCGCCAGCATCTAGAGTTCTCTGATTTGCTCATTTTAGCCACTCTGACTGGCGTGAGGTGGTATCTCAGTGTGGTTTTGATTTGTATTTCCCTGATGAGGAGGGACGCTGAGCATCGTTTCATGGGTCTGTTGGCCATCTGGATGTCCTCTTTGGAGAAGTGTCTGTTCATATCTTCTGCCCATTTCTTCACTGGGTTGTTTGTTTTTCGGGTGTGAAATTTGGTGAGTTCCTTATAGATTCTGGATATTAACCCTTTATCTGATATGTCATTTGCAACTATCTTTTCCCATTCCGTTGGTTGCCTATTAGTTTTCTGGGTTGTTTCCTTGGCTGTGCAGAAGCTTTTAATCTTGGTGACCTTCTGATTTTTAAATAGTCTCTTTTGAGTAGGGAACTTGGTCTACCAGTTGTAAATCTTCCACAATGATCAGATTGGCGGGGGGGGAGGTATGACAGTGATGGTCGTGTGCATCAGGCCTGTTGAGTGGCTGCCCGGTGCCCTACACTGGCCAGCAGGGCCTTAACGTTTGTTCGAGAGTCTAGTCCTCATGGCTGCTCTGTGAGGCGGATGCTCTTCCTGCATTCCACCTGCTGGGGATAAACCCGAGGGTCTGGAAGGTTGATGTGTCCAGATCTCACAGCTGCCGCGTGATAGACCCAGGGTTCAAACCCAGGGCCGTCTGCTCTGAACCGCCATGGCTCGCTCTTCTCTGAGAAGGTCACGTTCCTTCACACTGTCCCACTCCTCTTTCTAAATACCTCGAAAGTATTTCCTTCGATGCAAAAGATTATGGAGCACTTGGTGTTTTCTGAAGTAGGCATTAAGGGTTCCGAAACCTTATCTCTGTTGCTGCTCTGAGTGCTAATCTGGGGGGGCACCTGGGTGGTTCAGTTGGTTAAGCGTCTGACTTCAGCTCAGGTCATGATCTCACTGTTCATGGGTTCAAGCCCTGCGTCCGGCTCTGTGCTGACAGCTCAGAGCCTGGAACCTGCTTCAGATTCTATGTCTCCCTCTCTCTCTGCCTCTCCCTTGCTCATGCTCTCTTTCTCTCTCTCTCTTAGAAATAAATTAAAACATTAAAAAAAATTTTTTTAAGAAGATATGAATGCTAATCTGGGGCCCTCTGAGGTCTGGGCCTTCCCACCCCTGCGCTTTCAGAGATAGTCTCATCCCCAGGAAGCTCTGGGTCTAGTACGGTGCTGTGACTCAGCCCCCCCCCACCACCTTCTTCTAGCCCCTTGTCACTTGCTCTGCCCCAGAGCTGAGAGGGAAGAGGCAAGCACCTCTTGAGCACTTTCGGGATGCCCAAGGTGCTGAGCATTTTCCAACTTCGCAGCAGGAGAGGCGGGCGGGCCCATGGGGGGCACGGCACAGGGAGCTGCTCTAGGTCCCTTGCTCTAAGCAAATGTCACCCCTGCCAGGTCTGGAAGAGGTCAGGGGCCTGGTTCTACAGAGGGCTCCCCAAGTACATCCTGCCACTGAAGACCCCCGGCCGGGCCGATGACCCCCACTTCCGACCTTTGCCCATGGAGCCCACCGAGCAAAAGCCCAGAAGCACCGAGACAAGTCGCATCTACACGTGGGCCCGAGGGAGAGGTAAGTCCCCTTTGCTCCGTCTCCCAGGAGAGCAGCTGTCACAGTCCAGCCGTCAGCCCGCCGCCAGTGGCATGGGCACCGCGCCAGCGTCTGCCACGCCATCTGCGTGGCTCATGCTGGTGCTCCATCCCCTGCGTGCCCCCAGTTCCCCGCCTGCACCCATGTGGGCACCTTAGCACAGTGATGGCTCGCAGGGGGAGGGTCCGCCGGAGGCCGTTCCCCAAACAGGCACCAGTCTGGGGGCAGGGATGCCGTGAGCCCTTGGATCTTTGCGGAAATGTGATAGCCATTTGGGTTTTTGGCAAAGTATCGAAGTGTATCTTTCCAAAGCTCCATCTCTTCTCCCAGCTCGTCTCACATCTCAGGAAGGGAAGACTCCTGATGTCCTTGGTCCTAATGAGCAAAATGACTTTGTGCCCAGGGCGCTTTGGTATTTGGGGAGGCAGCGCTGCAGCGGTCAGAGAGGCACTCAGCCCCGCTGGTGATAACAGCACCTGCTGCAGGCGGTGGCCTTCCATAGCCCGCACGGTGCTTAATGTTCGGGATTTTATTTCAGAGTTCCAGAGGCGGTCAGTCGGGGCAGGTACTTTGTAGCCCCATTTTATAGGTGCGTAGCCTGAGGCCCAGAGAGGAGGATGGACTTCCTGAGCTGCTCTAAGGCCAAGCTGGGACCAAAAGGCGGGTCTTGTCCTCTGAGCCCTGACAGGGTGCATCTGTGTCCTTCAGGCCGAGGGAGGAGCCGCAGCCAGGAAATAGAATGTTGCTTTGAGGGGTTGGGTCAGGGAAGGCCCTTGGGCTGCTCACATCCGCAGAGCACACTCGTTCACACACACCCGTGCTCACACACTACCCACCCCCCCACGGGAAGGGTAGAGTCTGCATGTCCTCGGCCCTGCAGACCCAGATGGCCTTTTAATTACATGGGCGAGAGGGCCAGCGGCCCACACGCTTGCAGCAGCACGGTTTGCTAACCACGTTTGCACTGCGGCCAGGCCACGTGACGTGGAGGCCCCCCGTGTGAACTTGGTGCCCCTCTGCAGACTGGGTCACAAGCCTCCATGCTCCTGGAGCACAAGGCAGCGCGTCCTTCATGCCAAGACCCCAGGCCGGTGCGTTGCAGCCCTGGGATGATCCACACTGTAGCCCCAGGCAGGGAGAGGTGGCCCAGACAGAAGACTTCTGGGTCTCACCCGTGGGCACCGTGAAGGCTGAGGGCCCCAGGCTGGTTGGGGAGGCCCGGGAGGTGTCTGCACACACCCAGGGAAGGCAGACACCGGCAGTACGTGGGGTGCGTGTGGTGGGCAGGACCAAACTTGAGGAAACCCAGCATCCCGGGAGGAAGGCAGAGCAGGAGCTGATGGGGGAGACAAAGGAGGCACAGCTGGGGACGTAGGAGGAAGGCCAGGAGGGTCTACGTCATGGGAACCAAAGCACCAGGGGGCCGCAAACGAGCCAACTGTCCCCGAACTGCTTCCGAGCCTGACCCCATGGTTGTCCTCTCCAATTTGCCTGTCCAGAAGCCAGGGTCTGTGCCTTCTGATGGAGTTCGGGTCCCCCGGCCATCCCGGAAATGGCCGTGTACTCACAGAGGTACTGGCTTCGGGAGACTTGTGGGAGATCAAAGGCCCCAGCCAACCAGAACCTCCTCACAGCTGGTCCTGAGCCTGGCGGCTAGGGGAGGCCTGCTCTTCTGTGGCTTCCTGCTGGTACACGTGGCTTGGAGGTCAAGTCTGCGGCAGCCCCGGGGACCGGTCTGCCTTACCTGTCTGGGAAGCCCTCCAAGCTGCCAGGGGCTGCCGTCTGGTTCCTTAGGTCCTGGTCCCTTCTCAGGCTGGGCTCGAGGCCGTCAGACTCCCAGCAGCAGACAGCCCCCAGCCGGCAGCCTTGCGAGTCTGGCACTGTGACATCACTGGACCATTCCGTCCATACCCCTGATGATTGGGGAACATTTAGCATTTCTGCAGCTCCTAGAGTGGCCTCCCATCCCCAGCCCTCCATCAGCAATGCCCAGGTGCCAGACAGCTGGAGTCAGAGCTGTAGTCTGCAGCCTAGTGTAGAGCCTATAGAAGCCCAGCCCTTGTAGCGCCCCGTTCAGCCACAGCTGAGCTCAGGGCCAGGCCGACATAGAGTGGCCAGCATTGGGGTGTACACTCCCCTCCCCTTTGAATCCATTGCTCGTTTCGTATTAGGTGGTTTATTTTCTCCTTGGTATGTAGATACTGCTCATGAGTTAGGGATGTTAGATGGCTTGCAAATGTTTTTCACCTTGACTTTCCATGTCGTTTGACCTTTGCCTTTATTCACAGTATTCTGCCATTGAAAAACGATTTCTCTTCATTTATGTCAAGTATGTCTTTTGCTGGTTTCATGGTTTCTAGGCTTCCTGTCTTGCTTTGAAATGTCTTCCTCTCCAAAATTAAAAAAAGATATGCTAAGTAAAAAAAATTAATGTGAGAATAAAGAAATTACTTAAATATGATGAAATTACCAAAGAAGGAAAAAAGCTCCAACACCAAATATTATATTCACTGATAGAGCACTGAAGCCATGTTCTATCAAAATGCAAGAATATTCCCATCACCACCATCATTTGACAGTACTTTGTAGTATTTAACGAATGCAATAAGGCAAGAAAATAAAATAACCTGTTACTATTAGAAAAGAAAAGAGGGGCGCCTGGGTGGCTCGGTCAGTTAAGGATCCGACTTCCGCTCAGGTCATGATCTCCCAGTTTGTGGGGTCAAGCCCCGCATTGGGCTCTGTGCTGACAGTTTAGAGCCTGAAGCCTGCTTGGGATTGTGTCTCCCTTTCTCTCTGTGTCTCCCCAGCTCACTCACTCTCTCTCTCTCTCTCTCTCTCAAAAAATAAATAAACTTTAAAAAAAGAAAAGAAATTTTCTTACTTGCAGATTGATATGATTGTATATTACCCAAGAAAGCCTACTAAAAAACCCACTAGGATTAATAAGAGAATTTGGGAACTGACAGGAAATAAAGTAAGTTTGCATGTAAGTACAAATCAGTAGTTTACTCTCTGCTGACTAATTAGAAGGAGTAGTGGGAAAACTCACTCATAATTGCAGCAAAAATTATAAAATGCCTGGAAGCAAACTTTGAAAGAGAATTACAGGTCCAACATGAAGACAGTTATAGAATCTTCTCAAAGGACAAAAAGTAAGACACAAACAGAGGCAGACAAAGATCTTGGTCTCTCCAAATTAGTTAAGTATAATAATTCCTATCTGATTCCCAGGGGAGCTTTTAGAAAGGAATGGACTCAAATGTTTCTATTATCCATTAGATAAACAAAATGTGGCATAATCATGCAGTGAAATATTAGTTAGGCTTGGGCTACCTGAGTGGCTCAGTGGGTTAAATTGTTGAGACCAAACTCAATTGGTCTGAGTTCAGCCAAGGTCATGATCTCTTGGTCCGGGAGTTTGGGCCCTGGGTCGGGCTCTGTGCTGACGGCTCAGAGCCTGGAGCCGCTTCAGATTCTGTGTCTCCCTCTCTCTCTGCTCCTCTCCCACTCACCCTCTGTCTCTCACTGTCTCTCAAAAATGAATAAACGTTAAAAAAAGGAATGAAATACTGATGCCGGCTACAGTGCAGATAAAAGTTGCAAACTTTATGCTAAGTGAAAGAAGCCAAAGACAAAGGCCATGTAGTGTATTATTACAATTATATGAAATGTTCGGAACAGGCAAATCTATGGAGACAGAAGGTAGACATGTGATGCCAGGGGCTGGGGAGAGGAGGAACGGAGTGATTGCTAATGGGGACAGAGAACACGTGATGGAGATGTTCTGGAAACAGACAGTGTTGATGATTGCACAACTTACTGAATGTACTAAAGACCACGGAATCATACGCTTCCAAAGGGTGAATTTTATGTATAGGAGTTATATTTCAACTTAACAAAATGTGGTTCTTTTTATTGTATATTTTTTTAAGAGAGAAGAGAGAGAACACGAGCAGGGCAGGGGCAGAGAGAGAGAGGATCCCAAGCAGGCTCCACACTGTCAGCACAGAGCCCGATACGGGGCTCAAACTCACAAACCGTGAGATCATGACCTGAGCCAAAATCAAGAGTAGAGTCAGAAGCTTAATCAACTGAGCCACCCAGATGCCCCCAAAATGTGTTTTTTTAAGAATTATTTTATTTTGAGAGAGAGAGAGCTCATGTGAGCAGGCAAGAAAGGCAGAGGTGGGGAGAGAGAAAACATTAAGCAGGCCCCATGCCCAGCACAGGGCTCCATCCCACAACCCTGGAATCATGACTGAGCCGGAATCAAGAGTTGGACACTCAACTGATTGAGCCACCCAGGTGCCCCAAAATGTTTGTTTGTTTGTTTTAAGAATGGCCAGGTAGTTTATTTATTCACTTTTGAGAGAGAGAGAGAGAGAGAGAGAGACAGGGAGGGAGGATGGGGGAGGAGCAGAGAGAGAGGGAGAGAGAGAGAGAATCCCAAGCGGGCTCCACACTGTCAGCACAGAGCCCGAAGCTGTGCTTGAACCCACCAATCATGAGATCATGACCTGAGCCAGTAGCAAGAGTCAGATACTTCACAGACTGAACCACCCAGGTGCCCAAAGAATGGGAAGGTGGTAGAAGGTGCTGCCTGGCCAAATGTTAAAGCTCACTCTGAAGGTACTCTAAGCAGTACAATTGTATAGCCTTGTCACCAGAATAAATAGAATATTTACTTAAAGAAGAAATAAATAGATAAGTAGAACAGAACAGAGAAATAACAGACCAAAGGATGTATAGAAACTGAAATTAGGTAGCTTTCCAATTCAGTGGGAAAATAACAGGTTTATGTAACAACTGGCATTAGCATAATTAGATTTCCACCCCATTCTGTGTGTATTCAGAAACACGCTGCAGCTAGACTCAAGATCTTAATGTTAAAAATAACACAGAGAAAGTATTAGAGAAAGATCAGAGGTGTGTTGCCGCTGTGTCATCTCACAGAGGGCTGGCGAGGCTGAGGCCCTTAC